CACACACACACACACAAAAGGAGGCATGTGTCAGGAGGCGGTAACAGGACAGTGTCCAAATCGACAACCGCCCACTATATGTTATCTGTTGATAACAGAATATGGACTACTTTCAGAACTGGGTGAAAGCAGAAACAGTATGTTACAACGTATATATTGCTTAAAAAATCCTAAACTTATAGAACTTGCTATTTTTCTTCTAGTTGTTTACTGGTAATACAGATAGTAATACTGTTGTCAAGAATGCTTTGGAGGTTCCAGTTCTGGTTAGGATCGTTAGGTTCATACCAACAACGTTCCATACATGGAAGGTGCTACGCGTGGAACTTTACGGACTTGTAAAAGGTGATACAATTATAGACACAGTGCAATCCTTTTCTTATAATTATTATTTCTTCATACATTACTTCACTCTATTCCCTTAATTTTTCCTTTTATTGTCTTCCACTTATGCMATTGGAAATAATTGTTGTTTTTGTTAGTCCTCTTCCTCCCTTTCTTTCGATTTCCCTTTTAATTATTCCTCATTATTTCGATAATCGCTATCTTCATCATTTATTTACCACCACTTCTATTTTGAAAATCCCTGTTTTGATATACTAACAAACTTATTGTATTTTACGGCACTCCTCCACCAACAAAAACTATTATCATCATTATTATGCTTCACCCTCACCAACCTCACCATCCTCACCATCCTCACCATCCTCACCATCCTCACCATCCTCACCATCCTCACCATCCTCACCATGCATGCTCACCATGCATGCTCACCATGCATGCTCACCATGCATGCTCACCATGCATGCTCACCATGCATGCTCACCATCCTCACCATCCTCACCATCCTCAACATTCTCACCATCATCACCATGAACATCACCACCATCTTCGTCATTGTCACGATTATCACCACCATAAGCACCACAACCACCACCACCACCATTATCTTCGTCATTTTTACTCTTGGTCTCATCACCCTATATTAGTACGTCGTTTCACAACCATMATTATCATCATCATGAACATCATCAATACCACCATCATCAGAATCATAACATCATGATCATCGCCATCTCCTTCACCACCATCACTACTTTTTGTATTTTTAATTGTTCTTCATCTCCTCATCGTTACAATACGTGATATGTGATATTTAGAACTCTGCTGAGTCACCTTTTCTATATTCTTCTTGAAACTTAACCAAGAAAATCTATACATAATAATTCTTGGTTACAGTTTTGTATACCTATGGTGATCGTTAGCCATGCAAGAGCTATTTGTTTATCAAAATCAGTACCCATTATTTTATTTATGTATAGATTTGCCGTGTAGATCTATTCCAGTTGGTATTGGTAGTGGTAAGATACGAGACAGTGAAATGACATCATCATCAGATTACAACAGCACCACGTCACCATCCAAGGCAAGACTAAACTACACAGCAGGGTCATCGTGGTGTGCTGCTACAAGTGACACTTCTCCATATCTACAGATTAACTTAGGATCACCTTACATCATTTGTGGTATAGCAACACAGGGTGACCACATAACAGATCAGTGGGTACAGTCTTACAACATGCTCACATCAAATGATGGAACTGCTTTTAGACTATACAGCGAATACAATAAAGACAAGGTAAGCACTTTACGTGAACCTAATATAAAATGTACTTGTACATAAGAAACAAGATGTATAACACGAAACATAAACGCCTGCACGTACTAGCAGCAACTTTCTCGAATACGTTTTCGTGCTCATAAAAAAAAAAAAAAAAAAAAAAAGAGGAAAAAGAACTCAATATATTTTTTAACCTGCCTCATATACTATCTTGGTTTCACAATAATTAAAGTACCTAATTATCATCGTTTTTTTAAATGGTAGAAAACTCTTGGGATATAACGATGGTTAAACTCTTGGGATATAACGAATTTTTTTTGCAAAATTCGTACACTTATAAAGATTTTCATACATGTTTAAGTAGACCATTTTACAATTTTTTTCATGGTTGTTTCTTAAGTCGTTCGCTGGTAACTTCGATTCTAATGCTACTGTCAAGAATCTCTTGTATGATGGTACTGTTAGTCAGTACATACGTGTTGCATCCACAAGTCATTATGGGAGTACAAGCTGCATGAGAACAGAACTCTATGGAATAAAACTGGGTGGAGGTAACTAAAACGATGTAAAACGGTATACATTCAATATTCATTCTTGTAAAGTATAAGTAGTGCAATGTGTATGACCACGTGATCTAGTCACATGTTCATAGTCCGTCATATTGTATGAATGTGAAAATTCAATTGCTGGTTTTAATTAATCCCCAACGGAATGAAATAACAAGAGACACGGTGGCCATTATGTTTGTTGACTAATGACACCTCTTTTTATTAAAGTCAACCAAAATGGTGGCTATAAAAACCAGCAATAATTTAAACACGATGTATGGAAATGTTCAAAAATATGTCTCTTTTTATAACAAGAATTTAGTATAGGATTTTATGTCTTTTTTAGCTTTACTTAACTTGTATAATATGTGATTATATCAAGGTGTTCAGTTTCACGTAGACCATGGCGAAGTCTTGTCCATATCGCACGCAAGATACTTTGTTGATCGTGTTCTTTAATTTGCTTTTGTTAAATCATAACAAATGACGTGCATCCCTTCCCATGATAATTAAAAGGGCAACAGACATGGCCGCCATGTTGGATGACATGTCAAAAGACATCAAGACCAAATGCTTAACCAAGTCAACCAAAATGGCGGCTGAGACGTGACATTCACTCCAAGAATAGAAAGCGCCTCATTCCTGGACAGATATTTAGTTACTGGCATTAGTAAACAAACGTCTATCCAAGTCCACGAAATAATCATAAATTAGTTTTATCTAATTTGCCTTCTTTTTTTACAGCTTGCAAACTTCGACCACTTGGTTTATCAAATCCTAGCCAGATACAAAACCACAGGTTTACCGCAAGTTCATATTTTAATAACGATTACCTTCCAAGCAATGGAAGGCTCATGACGTCTAATAAAGGCTGGGGACCCAAAAAAGCGGCTAGTGGAGAATGGCTTCAAATGGACCTCGGTTCTGTAGTGTTCGTTTGTGCAGTAGCTACTCAAGGTATTGATACTGTAACCAGTGTGGAATGGGTAACAAGATACAAGATACGAGTCTCCTTGGATAATGCAAAATGGAGTTATTACCAGGAAAATAATTTTGACAAGGTAAGCGAGTAACAAGGCACTAATTTTTAATAAAAGTCTCCCTTGTAGCTAATGTAAATTGGGATTATTACGACAAAATAATGTCGAGGTAAATGCCGCGCTACTTATAAGATTTTGTCCAGTTTGATTTTTCCCTGATGATCAATTCTTTCTAAGCCGACGTATACCAGGTGATATCGGGGAACGCGCGCAAAGGATTGTTGTAGTTGATCAGGCGGTCCTAGTTTCAGTGTTTACCGACGAACAAAGAGCTATCATTTCAAGATAATTTTATAAAAGAATTAAAACCCAACGCACCATTTGACCCATGCATAGGTAGACGTTATACGTATAGGTAGAATTGGATCGCCTGATCAGATTTCTTCCTGCGCGATGATTGGCTATCTTTTTGATAGGCTGTCAAAACTACCGTAAACGCATAACGAGAATGTAACGAAGATCAGGGGTTTACAAACACGGATTTTTGTGGCCGTAAATTTGACGAAATTTCGACAAAATTTCCCCCGATTTCGGAAATCTTTAATTTCGCCCTGCGTAGCAGTCAGTACCTCGGATTCAGGATCGAGTTCGCGATGATAGATGTAAGTTAGAATGGTTAGTAATGAGTAATTTTCAACAAGTAATAATGGTCTTGACGCATCAACTTGTACTCATTTTCCATGATCAGTATCTAATATTTTCTCTTTGATAATACGCTGTGGGGAAAAAGAATGTTATTAAACCTGAAGATCCAAGCTTACATGAGAAATTAATATAGTAGATAACCAGCAACTTGAAATCACCAGATGGTTGATTTGTGGGTCAACCAGGTAGGGGGCGTCAATGCATTTCATCTCTAGCAGGCTATTTTAATCTAAGCGAGCAGATTTTTGTTTTTATAAATTCAGCCATATTTTCGTTTGATAGTTACTTGCCCAAATGTTTAGAGTATTGAGCGAGTGCTTTAGTGCGCAGTACTTTTTTGCACACGCGAGTTTTTTCGAATATATGGCCGACAATATACATTTGTGAACTCCATATCGTTCGTGAGTCATATACCTTTGAATTGAAAATTTATATTTTCCAACGAGTTGAACTCGAGGACCAACATGTTTGCTGTTTTTTGTCAAGCACAGAACCAATCTCCATTCTATTTTCGGAAGAAGAACAAAATTGCACGATCGGTAAATGATTCTTTTACTTAACTGTCATGTTAACACCTTGGTGAACCTTTCGTGGAAGTTAGGCGGAAGCTAAGGCCGCTTGCAGCTGGTTCTCTGTAAGCTAAAATTAAACTGCAGATCGATATAAAAGATATCCGCGGTAAAGAGTTTTAAAAACTTTAATAAAAGCGTTTCGGTTTGTTTTCATAGCAACGGATTCTCTCAAACATTGAAAACTAACAAAGAAGAGGCACTACAGAGAAGGGAAAGGAAAAAGGCTACCAGACATATATGGATTTATATTATATGGCACTTTTCTTTTTGTTTCATACTCTCATTCAGCTTAGAGTTGGTCTTTTGTAACCATAAAAAAACAATCCTCGTTTCGAAAGAAATTCCAAACCAACACTCTCTTGGCAAAGGCTTCATTCGGCAGCTGTTCACAACCTTTGATTGTGAACAGTTTCAATGATTGTTCATAAAAAATAACTTGCTTTTTCTTTGTAAACTGGTGAATCGAAAAAAAATTTCCCACTGATTCATAAGAGTTAACAATAGTTGAGAAGCGACAATATCAGTAAAGCTTGGCTAAGTCTTGATTTTCATCTCCGTCGTTGATCCATTCACTGAAATTGTAATTAAAAATTCACCTGCTGTCTCTGGAAAGTTAAAAAAGAAATATTACAAACTGCAAGAACATTGTACCCCTTGGACTGATCGTGATTTTGCCGGAGGGGGGACTCCCGGGTAAAAGTGTCGGCGATATTCTTGTTAGAAAATTTCCAAAATACCCTTGAAAATATGCCGACATTTTTTTTTATTGAGCTTGGCTTTATAGATTTTTTAAATCTTAAACAAAATATGATACAATACATAAATCTTGACATATTTGCTTGTCTCTTCAGTAACATTTATTGATCGGCACCCTAAATGATACCAAAATACTTCCGTGGTTTTCAATTTCAATTTCAATGCACTAAAAGGAAGGAGATTTATAATTCTTGCCCCCTTAAAAAAGGACGAGCATCCCCAATACCTCCCACCCCTCCCCCCCCCCCCCCCCCCCCCCCCCCCCCCCCCCCCAATTGACCCCGGGCTCCTGTCCCCGGTTGACTTTTACAAGAAAATATTAAGTTTAATCATTTAACTTTACTACTGCTTATCTCGTAGAGCATCTTGTAGCATATAGCATACTTGTTGGACTGACCATAAGTTGAGATAAATAAAATGTATATTGCATGCAAGTCATGATTTGTTTCTTTACTTTCAAAACCATCTGTTCTTTCTGAGATAAAAGGATAGCAACAATCTGGTTATGTAACTGATCGATGGAAAGGTTACTCTACGAGAGAGGAGGAGTTTTTTTGAAAACAGTCTCAGTCATATACTCAAAAGGAAAATATTTCAGCTAATCCTTAAGGCAAGCCTTTCCTCCCGTCCTTTTTGAGAATCTTAAACAGAAGTAGGATATTCTTCAAGGAGATGAGCTGCAGACTGAAGAACTTGTCCCATTACCACGAAAAAGAGCTAACATTTTGGGTTAGTCTTTAAAATATTGATGAACTCCTTAAACGTTGATTAAAGACGGCATTCTAGGATATTCAGAATGAATACGAGCTGTCAATTCGATATTTTTTACCTTAAACTACCTGATCATCGAATATCATTATGCACGATACTTGGAATGACAGCCATAACATCAACACTTATGAACTCTCTTGTTTTGTACTCGATCTGGAAGACGCCTTCTTTGCACAAGCCGTCGTTCATTCTGATAGCAAATCTTGCTCTCACAGACTTCTTAAATGGATCAGTTGTGGAGCCTTTGACAGTTCTTTTCCATTTGACTATTGTCATGGACTGGAAGGGCATGTTTTGTTACGTATGGCTTGGAAGCATGGCATTAGGATATTGGGTGGGTTTTCTTTCCGTTTATACTGTAACTGTTATGAGTGTTGATCGCTTACTGGCCATCAAGTTGAATAACAGGTATCGCAGTAATGTCACTTCAAGACGTACTACATCAGTCATAGCTTTTGGTTGGATAGGAATCGGATTGGTAGTATTTTTAACCGTATATCTGCCCAATCTTTCAGTCACTTCAAAAATCATCATTGTCGCGATTAACCTGTCGCTTTTGCTAACGATTTTAACGGTTTGTTCTTTCATGGCGTTCTATTACTTGAAGAAATTATCCTTATCAGTATCACCCAGCAATATTTCTAGTGCTTCACCCGAGTCAGCGACTCCACATCAGAACACCAACAATGTCAATAAATATCGAAGGTCCTTGAACACAATGCTACTCGTTATTTTTTGCATGCTGTCATTTTATATTCCTTTGGTTGCCAGTGGTGTTATAGCAGAAGTGACTATGAAAGATGGTCAAGAGTTCGGCGAGGACACTTCATCTATACTTGCATATAAACTAGTAACCACAGGGGAAATCATTTCACTGATTAATTCTTCAGTGAATCCATTGTTGTATTTATGGCGTATTCAAGATCTTCGTAGAGCAGTTTTCTTGAGATTACGGATACTATTTCAGAGGCAACTGCCTGATAATAAAAATCAAGAGACACAAGCGCAGTCACAGTTTACTTAAATCTGKAATATACTAGTATAGATAGTGTAGCAAGTATTTTCTTACTTTTCATAACGTTGACAGGAATTATGCTTAACGAGCAGATTGCATAAAAAGATCCACAATTAATTTAATATGAGAAATAAATAGAAATTATGTAATTTAAGACTATTCTTAAATAAAACTGTGCTCAGAATACTTAGCTTCATGGGTTAATGATTCATGGAGATATAGATAGATGATTCGAGAGTTTTTCGTATTCTCTGTTTTTTTTCCTTCCGCATGACCTAACAACAAGCTACTTTAAATTTCGAAGGTTCGATCTGTGAGTCAGCCATGCCCTGACTTAAGCCCCGTTTACACTAGCGATTTTTTTGCAATTTTTGCTGCGATTTTTTTTGCGATTTTGTCCATAATAAATAATGGTAAAGAATTTACTTGTAAAGTTTTATTCAGGATACCAATATTCTTCTAGACGAATGTCTCTTTTGAAGGATGAGACAAAAGATTTCATATTTCCGAAAATTGCCACAAAAATCGCAGCAAAAATCGCCAGTGTAAACGGTGCTTTTAGATCAGCCCAGAGCTAGGTTGTTTGAGGGCTTGATCTGTAAGTTATCCTACTTCGATCAGCCAAGAGGTTGTTTTAGGGTTCGAACCGTGAGTTAGCCATACCCTGACTTTGATCAGCGAAGAGGTTGTTCCAGGGTTTGATCTATGAGTTAAGCATGCCCTGACTTATATTAGCCCAGAGGTTATTTCAGGGTTCGATCTGCAAGTTAGCTGTGCCCTGACTTAGATCAGCCCAGAGCTTGTTTCAGGGCTCGATTTGTGAGTTAGCCATGCTCTTACTTTGATGAGCCCAACGGTTGCTTTAGGGTTTAATCCTTGGGTTAGCTCATAAGCCTTGACTTACATCAACCCAGAGGTTGTTTTGTTTAAGGGTTCGTCATGTAAGTTAGCCATGTCCATAACATATACTGATGTTTGCTTCTGCTACAGGTATTCAATGGGAATGCAGACCAATATGGTATTGTCACAAAAAGTCTAACCAACCCAATCAAGGCAAAGTTCATCAGGTTTTACCCTATTGCAGATAAAGGTTGGCCATCGATGAGAGTCGAGGCGTATGGAACACCATCAGGTAGGTATTACGATAGCATTGGAAACAACGACATCCCTTAAAGTAACATGCTTGACCGTAGTTTGTATAGGAATATTCAGTACTTATGTGTAGTACTCATGAATGCATTCAACATTAGTCCCACACCCTTTTGTGGAAATCGGCTTCAATAGGACTTCTGCATGATGGTGTCATTTGACTCCATCTATCAAGATGCATCGCGAATATTCTTTCTTATTCAAATTTGTATTCCCACATGAGAAAAATAAGACAATTGATGATAATCAACTGAACAAAAGAAAGTGTGCAAGGGATTATGGTAGTAGAGGTCAATGACGACGTAATGCAAACGTCCTATTGGCTGGACAAGCGTATATAAAAAAAGTTTTACCTTACCCTAACCCTTACCCTTACTTTACCTTACCTACCTTACTTTGCCTTAGCCTGTAGTTCTCCAATTGGTCTTGAGAACGGAGTTGTCTGGGATATTCAAAATATGACGTCATTATCTCACCTTGACAACACCCATACTGCATCACATGGTCGTCTCTATGGCAACAGTTCATGGTGTAGTAGCACGTTATCTAACACTCAGTACATACAGATTAACCTGGGACAAGTGATGACAGTGACAGGTATAGCAACACAAGGTGACCACACCATGGATAAGTGGGTGAGGACATACACTATCAGTTACAGTATGGATGGCAATCTGTGGAACACATATAAATCTCGAGGCAAGAGTGACGAGGTAAGTTAAAGTGCCAGTAAAAAAAAAAATCATAAATAATATTGGTCCTATCAAGACTATTTTACATTTAATACGTTCTTAATTCTTTACCATCAGCTTTTTCTTGGAAATAATGACAAGGAAGGCATTGCAGTGCAATGGTTGACCAGTCCACTGACCGCCAGACATGTTAGAGTCACACCACAGACATGGAATACTGCTATATGTATGAGAATAGAACTGTATGGATGTGACTATGGTAAGTACAGACATGGAACATTGCTATATCAATGAGAATAGAACTATATTTATTTAAATATATCTTAAGCATAGGCATGGCAAATACAAGATATTTGTGACAATAGAACTGTATGGGTGAGAATTTGGTAAATATGTCATCATCAATACGCTTATTTACAGCTAGACAACTTTTAATTAACTCATCGTTTTTATTTAACTATAGCTACCAGACCAGTGATATCAGGTCTGACCAATCAAAACCTCAGAGCAGCATCCAATAGCTATGTAGATCTGGTGTGTATTGTACGAGAACCATTAATACAGTACATTAAATGGTACACTGGTAATACTGACATCACCAGTCAATCTACTGGTCTGGTGCGTGGTGCTAATGGAGTCAAGCAGTCTACATTGAGAGTGAACTACAYTTCTGTGGATGACGTATTAAACAACTATGAGTACGTTTTAATAATGATTTATAAAATAATTGGGATACTACGCGCGCTATGATTGGTCAAAAACCATGTTTGATGAGAGTATCAATATAATCTATCGCGAGCGCTCATTGGTCAGTTTGAATAAGACGGCACGTAGGGAGAATTTATTTAGACTTTGCTTTTTTTCGATCTTTTAGCGCGTTTGTTATTTTATAAAACAAATCAAAAACAGTTTTCTGTGTTTGATACTCTGATCAAAACACTACGCGTCGTGGTTTCCTACGCTCCTCTCGTGTTCTCCCAACATCCCGCGTGTTTTGATCAGAGTATCAAACACGGAAAACTGTTTTTGATTTGTTAATTCGTAACTTCGAATGGAATCACGAATAATTGTTAACTGGCTGCTAAAAATCGAAATATTTTCAAAACCAGAAAATTCAATATGTTCAAAGGCACTCTCCCATGATCATCAACTGAGCATGGGCAACTTCACGTCTCGGTTCATAATTCTGTTTGCGTGGAGCTAAGAAGTAGTGAAACTGTACTTTCAGTCGATATGCATTTTTAGTTGCCTTTTGCGTGGACTTCTCTGCTACTGCATCTTAAGTGCCTTTAAATTTTTCTTAAGATTTTTATCCTTTTTGATGAATATAACGACTATATGAACATTAAAGCATTTACTTTTCCTCACAGGTGTATCAGATCAAAAAAAATGTTGTGCTTCAAGGCCTTCGTTTGCAAAGCAATGTATGAAGACGATAATAATTATCCAACAGCCATACCAAATGGAGCAGTTACAGGGAGAATGACTATAAATGCTACGACTCAAAGCTCTTTAAAAGCCAATATAGATGGTTTTAAAAGTGCCGGAGTGACAGTAAGTATAGGTAAGACAAGAGATTAAATGTGATATTTTTCTTGTGCAGCAGTCATGAAGAAGAAAAACTACTCTTTCCTCTTGGGAAAGACGCACGGTTCTAATGGGAAAAAATTGGGCCCAAGCTAAAAGTGCTAGCTATTATATTAATAGCCATTGTCAGAGGCGTAAATCAGTGTCCAAATGTCCAAGTGATTAATTTTTCCCAAAACTGATAAACCATATTTTCCTAGTTTCGTTGCTTAAGCAGAAATATTGAATGTATTGCATATCACAAAATACACTTTGAATAATCGCTTCATAATTAGTTGTTTTTCAATTTTCTATTAATAACTAGATTACCCATCAACCCTAGCGGCACCAACAGTCCAGGATATCAAGGCAACATCAGCAAGGATAAGATGGAACCCGCCTGGACTAAAAGCATCCCAGACTAGAGTGACCATCTATGTATTAAACTACGAGAACAGCAAACAGTCAATAAATATACGCATACCAGCTCCTGTATCAACCCACGTGATCACTGGTCTAGCTKTCTTTACTAATTATAGTGTTAGGATAAAAGCTTTAAGTAGAATTGGCCCTGGACAATGGAGTATGGCCAATAATTTTACAACGAACTCAACTTGTAAGAAAATAAAGCTTTTTACGAATGTTTTCAATAACTGTTGTTACGATGCGTTTTTGTAGTCGTTGTCTTCCGTCAACCTTATCTTTTAGGACAAATATTATCTTTCTTGCAGTACCTGTGGCGTCTCCATTGTCAGTTACAGTTAACGTTCTGACGTCACAGACCATGCGGGTTACCTGGAAGGTAAGTTCAGGGGAAGGGGAACAAATCTTGTGATTATGTCTTGCAATCGGCCATCACAAACCGTTAAGGGTCCGATGGATAAATCTTATTTAGTGGATAATTGTTTTGAATAGCAGCATCGACCTATCCATTGGATAAGTATTAATCCTCTGGATATTGTTTATCGAAGTATTATGACCATCCGGGTGGATGTAATCCTGAGAAGGACTGTTTGATGTGACTAACGTTTCGACAAACTGAGCCGAAGTCATTTTTAGAGTCAAGTGAAGAACAAAGTCAGATTGGTCATATTTACAACCGAGCCAGGTGGTTTACAGCTAGCTTCTCATTTCATATGAATGAAGAGAAGATAATTTAGACAAAGAATATTCTAAATTGTTCATTGATTATGTATATTTTCCTTTCTTCTAGGCTCCCACATCTCAAATCTATGGCCCTATTCTAGGATATAAAGTAATCGTTACACCAACATCATCTTCATCAGAAGAAGCATCAAGGAATCTTACCACGAAGCTAACAACATGTATCATTGGGAACCTGTTAAAGTGGACTGAGTATAATATCAGTGTGTGTGTCTTCAATGATAAAGGGAGAGGTCCTGCTGTCTACGTCATTGAACGTACTGCAGAAGATGGTAGGTAAAGACAACTATTCCTTTCTATCACGTATATTAAATGCCTTTGAGTATAAGCGTTTCTTTCCTTTGTTTTGTTTGACCCATACCCGTTGACTGAAGATATTGCTTGTTGGTTTTCTTCTGTCATTCGGATGCTTTTCCTGAATCATCCAGTTGTTGTCCCCCCCCCCTCCCCCTCTGTAAAAACGAGGTTCCATCCATTTTCGAAACACTACTTGAAAGGAAGGAGTGCGAGGGCACCCAGAGAACCTTCAAACTAGTCCGCCAAAGTTTGCGCAATAGGAAGAAGTCAGAAACCCAAAGAGAAGTAAAACCCTCAATCCATATGGCAGAACCAATAAACGACCGAACAGCGTGACCGCAGCGATGAGAGGCCCCGAATGAAATACTAACGCACACCGTCTGATTTTGCTTGATTTTCTTTATTTCTATTCCATTGTCACTTTTTACCTTTTCCCCCCTCTAGCGCCAAGTCAACCCCCACAGTACTTCAATGTTACTGTTTTCAGTTCCACTAGTGTACAATTATCTTGGGGATTACCACCAATAGATTATCGGAATGGCATTATAAGAGGATTCGAATTTTTTTATAAAAAGAATAGCCAGAATGAAAATGCAACAGTCACGAACCTTCCTGGTAATGGTACCCTACGACACGTCCTTGGCGGGCTGGAGAAATATACGAGATACACATTTAAAGTATTAGCTTATACCAACAAGAAAGGTCCATATTCAAAGAGCATTGACATGACCACGCTTCAAGATGGTATGTAGTGATGCTTTGGTTTTTCTTGGAAATAAAACTATATTTACTATAATAGACCAGTTTCGAATTCCAAATTACCGCTGTGTTCCTTGATTACAGACYCATTTGCACAGTGTTAGCCTCGTATCAGTCAAATATTCACAAATACCAACAGTAAAGTAAAGAAGGCACAACTTCAATGATACAAACATTTCGAAACTCGACGGACCTTGACTGGAACACGTGAACATTCTGCACAAACTCGAGGCTAACCCTGTGCAAATGAGTCTGTAATCAAGAAACACAGCGGTAATTTGGAATTCGAAACGGGTCTATTCCATAAAAAAATTTCCACAATAGGGAAGAGGAGGGGGTGGGGGTGTCCCGATACATAGGCTAATTTTGACTTCTGGGAGACTCTGCTAATGACTTTTCATGATGAGCCGATTTTATTTTTTTATTTAATATTCGCAAGTCGTGAAATTCGTGAAATGCATTTTGTAGAACATCGAAACATTTCAATTGCATCAATGAAAAAGTGTGCATGAATTAACCTGGGAAATTTTTATGAGCTTACATAATGTGTCCTTGATCCAAACAGAACCATACTTAGCACAACAGCTTCATTCTTTTGTGTTATTCAACATGTACAGAACCTTCGGCTCCTGCAAATCTGCAGACACAAATCATTCCTCCAAGAGGTATGACAGGACCACAGATAAACATCACATGGGATGAACCTGAAGCTCCTAACGGAATCATCCAGTCGTATACTGTCTTTTGCAACAGCACCCGTGGTTCTTTTGTCATTCATTTGCATAATGAACAGACTGTTACTCTGCCTGTGATCGGAGGACTGATGTACTCGTGCCGTGTGAAAGCAAAGACTATTAAATTTGGAAATGAAAGCACGACGAGGATCATTGTCCCTATTTACGGTAACCTGAAACTACTTCCGAATAATCTAAATCAGAGCATCCTGAAACATTAACTTTGGGCAGATCTAAATCAAAACATAGCTAACTCACAGATCGAACCCTGAAACAACCTCTGGGCTGATCTAAATCAGAGCACCATAAACAAACGTTGGGCAGATCTAATTCAGAAATAAACACAGATATATCAAAAATCGAACTCTAAAACAACCTCTGGGATGAACTTAGTCAGAGCATCCTGAAACAATGGTTGGGCAGATTTAAATCAGGGTACGGCTAACTTACAATTAAATCGAACTCTGAAACAACTTATGGGCGGATCTAATTCAGGGCATGGCTAATTCAATCTAGCCTGAAACAATCTCTGTGTTGATCAAAGTCAGAACACTGCTCACTCAGGGAACGATTTTAGCGTCTTAAGTTTTCCTGAGAGAAGGAGAAGAAAAAAAAAATCTCAACAATATATTATTGTTATTTTCCTAGCACCTCCAACTGCACCTCAAAATGTAACATACTACGAGATCAATGCAACGACATTCATTGTAGAATGGCAACCTCTAAACACTACAAACGGTCCTGTGACGATGTATGAACTGATCATACAAAACTCAAAGCAGATAAAACAAATAGCTTTGAGGTCCAAGGCAGCCTCCACTGATCTGTATGAAAAGATGAATGCTACATGCTGCAGTGTAATTCTGTATGGTCGCTCTCCTTGCTCTGTGTATGTTTTATCTATACGGGCCTATTCACATGCGGGTCCTGGGCCTGCCAGTAAATCAATCAACATGATTACATCAGGTAAACTATTGTTAAACTCCTGCGTAATAAATAAATGTACATTTGAATATTCTAAGGTTGGGTATTTGAAGGAAGCAGGGAGGATTATCTTAGCATGTTTTGATTTACGACTCTTAAATTTAGGTGCAATTTTCACGATTTTGAAAAACGTCGACCAAAATAAATCAAAACGTCTACGCTTTCGACTTCCATCGATTAATTAATGTATAAGACACGCGCGGTTACGATGGTGGAGCTGTGATGGCAACTACACAAATACTGTGACAAAAAGCCATACACTCTAACATTTCTAACATTTTCAGAACCAGGTCCTCCAACGAGACTTCATGTATCAAATGTTGGAAAGAGAGAAGTTACTCTAAAATGGAATAAACCAGATGCTGTTATTGAACCAGTCATTGAGTACAAAGTAAGTCTATTCTTCGTTTGCACATTACGTCATCGCGGCCATGTTGGTACCATTTAACAAAAGATTTCTCATTAGCATCCATTGTTAACGGTACCACAATGGCCGTCATGTTTTTGTCTTTTAACTCTCTTGGGAATGCTTGCAACCCATCAATACATTTGTTATTACTATTTAAGGTAATACGGACCAATTTGATTTAGCTTGAGTAACATGACCGCTTTTCTTGAATAATTTGAAATAATTCAAATAAAATTTTTTTCCTGTATTTTATTAAGCATTATTATTATTATTATTATNTACTGACGTTTCGGACGCTAGTCCTTCGTCGGAGAGCAAGAGAGCAAGCAAGCAAGAAGCACGTACACGTAAGAGACAAGAAGCAAGCACAAACAAGCAAACAGGCAGGCAAGAAAGCAAGAAAGAATAACGCAAGCAGAAAGCAAGCAAGCAAGCAAGGAAACAAGCAAGCAAGCAATGCAAGCAGGTAAGCAAGAGAGCAAGCAAGCAAAGTAACAAGCAAGCAAGCAATGCCAGCAGGGGTGCTAGGATGGAAGGAAGCAAGGATGGAAATAAGCAAGCAAAGGAGAAAGCAAGGATAAAAGGATAAAGGGAAAGATCTAAGGAATTTGCCAACAAAGTATTTCATCAGGTATTTCATCACCTTAAACGCATCCATACAGCTCCATCCTCATCGAGATGTGGGCGTACCATGTCTTTGGTCTGAGTCTGATGAACCTTGCGATGATAGGATTAAGTGCGTGCTTCACAACAGTGTTCTGGTCCGAGTTTCTTTAAAGGCCTTCCCTCCTCCGTAGCTTGCAAACGTTCTTCCATTCAAACTGTACTGCAATGTGTAGCTTTTCACCCACTGGCTTAAGTCTTGTCGGCCTTGTGTGGCAATGTGCGTAACTCTGATAGGTTGGCCGAAATCGACCTGCAGCCATTGGTTGACGTTGTTATGTCGAGCGGCCCAAGAACCAGCTTTTGATCCAGAGCTTTTCATGTCAAGTCTGGCTCTTGTGGGTGAGTAGTTTGGGTTATACATGGCAGAAGCGGTGATCTTTGAGTCAGGAATTGCGCCACTTTTCATTCCAAGGGGGGAGATGCAAAATGCCACAAATTCTTAGTTTCTACCGATATCGATTCGGATTTCGGATTTCTTACGTGTAAAATATAAGCTATATGTTACCATCTAGTTTATATTATCGATGTACGATGAAGACTAGCGTGAACGTGCCGTCGAAACGACAATTACACGACCACATCAGCAACGCTGTAATTTATATATTATCGTGTTTAAATAAAAGCCATTATTATTCAGCATTATTATTATTATTATTATTATTATTATTATTATTATTATTATTATTATTATTATTATTATTATTATTATTATTATTATTATTATTATTATATTTAAAAAACAACACAAATATTGAAAATTTCATCCTGGCTAAACACTGATACGTCATTGCGGGATTCCTGTGGAGGCGCGGTTTAATCAAAATTCTCGTGGCTCTTCTCAATCTCATTTGAAAATGTATTTAAAGCTTCCTTCTTTGTTCGCTAAAAAACTAACCCTTTCCTTAGTAACGGCGGTCGATTAAGGTAATAGTATTTGTAGCTATCTTATTTGTCTTTTGTTTATTATTTAATTCATATGCATTTGGCCTAGTTTGGCATAAATGTGTAGCTTTGTATATCTATATATTAGTGAACTATTTACCATTGAAACTCGCTTCTTTACTTGTTTCAGCTGTGTTTATTTGTGTAATACCAATACGATTGACTTGAAATAATCGGTCGACGTTTCTTTTGTTAGTTAGAACATGCATATGGAACGTAAATAAATATTATTTGTAACTCTAGCTGTCTTGCTTTTGCAGATTTCTTTCAATGGAACTAATTTATGGGAAAAGGACATCGAAGTGAATCGAGGTGAAGAAACCTCTACGAAGGAGACAGCCACCATCTCTGGACTTAACCCATCCACTCATTATCAGTTCCAAGTATCCGCTGAGACGGACTGTGGAGCTGGAAAGAAGAGTAAGATAACAACAGCAAATACAAGTGTTGATGGTTAGTAATATGAAAGAAACTTTTTCATGAGCAGCCATTCGCCAGAGAAAAAAAAAAAAGAAAAAAAGAGTGGACACTAGGCTGGAATGTTGCAATTGGATGACAAAAAATATGTATACACCTATTTCAGAAATCGTTGTCGCACCAAAAGCCTTAAGCAACAAGCCAAGACTGCAAAGAACAAGCAAGGCTGCTTGAGATGACAATTAGTTTAGAGCTATAGCCACTTACATGAACCTTGAATAAATCAATTATAGTTAAAAGTACCGACGTTCTCTGGAGCCTTGGCTTGTTACTTGGGGCTTTTGGTGCGAAAACGATCTTCGAAATAGGTGTATGTAAAGGTATCATACCATTAAATAATTCACTTCGTGCAGAATCAATAATGAAAATATTGAGTTAGCGGTGAGGGTCATTCTAATGAAAGGGTGGGGGAGGGGGGGGGAACTGAATGGTGGGGATTACGAAAATAACTTTGAGTCTATCTTTAAATATGTAATATTTGAATCTATATTGAAAAAAAGAAGCCTTCAAATTTGATTGACAGCTCCACCTTCACCACTTGTTGAATATATTACCAACATCAATGAAAGCATAAGCAACATTCCGTTATGGGGAGCCTCTAATGTAAATGGTATGATAAGGTATGTCTTGATAGCAATGATAATGTACATGTATGCTAGTAAAGTACAGATATTCTCAATCACACGCGCCCCCTAGCGACTGTTTCTGTCGCGACGAAGAAGGTTTTGATGGATGTCAATCACAAGGCGTTTCCATAACATTTTCGGAAAACACAAAACTATAAGGGCACGTGCCTATAGAGTGTCATGGAAACGCCTTGATTGACGTCCACCAAAAGCGTCTTCGTCGACACGACAGAAAGAAACGCTAGAGCGGCGTGTGTGATTGAGAATGGCTGTAAACTGGTGAAATAAAATCACTCTACATAATTTATCGTAAGATATTATATTGAAAAAACAAATAAGACATTTAGTTTTAAAAGTTTTGATTATGAAATTTGTGACGACAAGTTTACAGACATTTTCTCGACTTTCGACGCCATATAACAAACACAACAAAAATTTCTAGAACAGAGTTTTTAGCTTGAAAAATCTGGAAAAAAATATTCTGTAATTGAAACTTTTGAACCCGCCTTCTTGAATACGCTAGTTTGCTTATGGAAATTTTTTCTCGTTCCAGTTTGGTCAGGGGATCGGACAAAATATCAGAAATTGAATTCGTTTAATTAATGAGACAAAATTTGGCTTCGCCACTTCATTTTGCCCCTTGAGTTCGAGATTAGGCTCCCAAGAGGTAAAGGGACGTACTTTTCTCTTATTCAATACATTATTTCTTCCTTTCTTTGTATTAGTGCATACCAAGTAATTGTACTTGAAAGGATAGACGCTTCTGACAAGACTTTTGATGCTGAAAAACTGACAAACTACTCCCAGGCGAAAGAAAATAGACTGTCTTACTACATAGCAGCACAAATAGGTACAACCCAGCCTGGTCAAACCCTTCCAAGGAGCTTTACTCTTGGGGACGAAAATATTTATAACACGTACAAAAACATGAAACTTGCGTACGGAAAAAGTTACTACGTATTTCAAAGAGCTATGACACTTGACGAGGAAAAGGTGAGGAAAAAAAACAAACAATGCAGCTAGCAATAGACCTCTTCGGCTCTGACGCAATGTTTTCCCATTTCAGACCACATGTCATTCCCTTGAGTATCATTTCTGTGTTTAAGGTTTGCGCTCGGTTGCACATGAGAAGACACATGAATATGGATACAGCTCAAACAAAGAATCTTATTCTCAAGGGAATGACACGTGGTCTGAAATGGGAAAACGTTACCCCAAGCCGAAGAGGTCTATTTAAGAATAGACCCCTTACAGTTCCCTGCGCCATCTTGAAAGATAGCCGTGCCCTTGCATCGAAGCGAGACGAACGGTGTGCTTGCAATGATAGAGACCTTTTTTTAACACCTTGGACAATTATTCACATCTCAATCATTGCAAGCTCACCGTTCGTCTCGCTTCAACGCAAAGGCGCGGCTACCTTTTAAGATGGCTCAGGGAACTGTGAAGGGGAATATTTGTAGAGCAAAAAGTGCAGAAAAAAAATAAATTTAAATTTACAATTTTTTGCTAGTTTGTTTTGAATGTTTAGATTCCTAGGCTCAGGTCAAACGTCAAACTTCATATGAGCCGAACCAAAATGGGACAATGGATAACAAGTCGGTCTTCTTTGAAGTTAAATAGTTCGGCTCATTTTAAGCTCGACGTTTGACCTGAGCCTAAGATATTATAAACGATGTTTTGATTTAACAAATAAAATACATTTACTGTGTTTGCACACGCTAATGCAAACCGAGATGTGGTTGGGAGAATTAGAGAGCAGATCACCTGCTCGAGAATTCTCCCAACCACATCGAGGTTTGCATTAGCCTGTGCAAACACAGTAAATGTATTTTATTTGTTTTATAAAATTATTTTCTTCAAAAACAAAAATAACGAAACACGATCAAATAAAACAGAAGAATTTAGTTCAAAGTTTTGAATACAAATTCTCCTTACATACTTGTGCATTTGCAATAACCAATCAGATTGCGCGAAAGAAGACCCTTAACCAATCAAATTGCGAGTTTGATACACGCCTCCAAGCATGAAATTCAAGTTGAAAATTTCTTATTTCAAAGCGAGAAGAAGCCAAACTTTAGCGACTTTCTCCCTTGAGAAAGAGGCTTTTACAAGCAAATCTTGATAAAATAATAATTCCAAATCTTAACCAATGGCTTTAGTCATTCTAGACCGAAAAGAAAACACTATTTTGAGAGCTAGAACTCGCTAAATTCAAGCTTGATTTCCGTCGGTGTTGTCGAAAGAGTTCGTCGAAATTCTCCGAGTTCAGGCTGGCAAATCTGGATTTTTCCTTTTTTATTGAAGGATCTTCTGGTGATTCTATTATTTCAGATGCTTCCTCAGGAAAGTCAAAGTCTAAGCTTGGAAAATTGCCCATATTCTTCTAATTTTACTGGAGTTATGACTATCTGTGTACAAGTACAACTTCCAAACAAAACTCAAATTTTCCCACTAGTCACAACCGTGTTTGCACAGGGAAATGCAAACACGGCTCTCGGCCAATCACAGCACGCGTACTATCTGAATTATTTTATAATACGTTATATCACATTTACAACTGCCTGCAAGTGTTTCTGTTCTGTTGAGTTAATGGACAAGTTGAATATTTTGGAACTCTTTTTGCAATAGTTTTTTTTTACTTTCGTAATTTTATAGTGTTGTTATTATTACTTTTATAACTTGTTTATTAACTATCCAAACAATGCAAAGATTAAAAATGGATTTTTTTCATGTTGCTATTGACAAAGGAATACTTGGCGGGCCGAGCCAGTTTGATAGGGAGAGGAAAAATACCCGAACACGGAGGTTTGTATAATTTTTTCTTCTCATCGGATCGAAATTGTAAAAGTTAGTGTGAACATTATTGACGGAGATGTAATAAAGTCATAATAAAATATTTTTATCGCATAGGACCTTGTGCTGTGCAAAGGCCATCGCAGAAAATCGTAAAGAGCAATGGTAGGTAAATTATTTGCATGGTAAGGAAGGCACTTTCATGGTAAGAAAGGAACTTTCATGGTAATGAAGGTACTTTCATGGTAAGCAAGGCATTTGCATGGTAAGGAAGGTACTTGCATGGTAATGAAGGTACTTTCATGGTAAGGAAGACAATTTCATGGTAAGGAAGTCAATTACATGGTTTCCATAGCCTCATTTTCATGCACTAGTCAGCCATCATGAAAGAGGTGTATGGTAAGTACGGGTAGCCTAGCGTTGAGAGCGCTCGCCTCTTATCAATTCGACACTGGCTACAGTCCCGCCAGCCTTGTTGTTGTATGCGAGTATAGTATCCCCTTATAAATCATAGTATCTCCTCATAAATCATTGTTCCATGTCATAGAAGACACTAAAATGAAATGGAAGATGATGGTAAGCAGATATTTTCGGGGTGTGCCGTTACTGTAGTGCAATACTTCTTTAGCATTGACGGCAAAATTTAATTGTTTTATTTCTTTATCCAGATTCCATGTACCTTTTTATAAGCTTGGCATTTAACGTCGCGTTTATTGTTATCTTTACAATTTTCCTTTTTTACATCAAGAGTATAAAGAACCAGTTCAGTAAGTTGGATGGTGTTTTAACTACTAGCTAAGTCTATGAAAGTAAAACAAATATCTTATACCTTAAATATACTGTTAAAACTATATTCTTGAAATGAACAGTCTTGATTGTGATAATTATGATTCAATAAAGATATGATATTAATAGGACCGCCTTTTCAAGTGGTCATCAAAACCACTTGAAAGTCTAACGATTTGTAGATGTAATTCCAAACGCAGCACTTTCTCCTCAGTTATTTTAAGACCAGGACTGTTGGTCCTGCCTGGACTCCACGACCTCTCGTACGAACATCCRATGCTCAAACATCTGAGCCATTCGGCCGGCGGTTGCATTGTTATGAACTAAAGCGAATCTATTCGTTATTGTCAATTAAATACATATACATAATTATTAATTAATTAATTATTATAATTAATTATATATATATAATTAACTTTTTTCCTCGTTTGTTCTAGAAAACAAGGGGCTTGAAAATAGGTGAGAAAACAAAGAAATATGTGTCGACTTTTAAATGACATAATAATTTTTATTATTTTCCTTTTCCTCAACAGTGAAGTAACCGCATCGACTAGCATGCAGGTTATTTATGAAGTGAGTTGCTTACCTTTCAATTAATTTCACTATGTATAACTTAATGATGTAATCTTAAGAAGGTGCGAAAAATCAATTTCCATATTAAGAAAATGGAAGCGACTGTAGCTTAGTCATAAAGTTTGGTGATAAAGAGGGAATCGAGATGAGGCACTGTTTTGAGGCTATAAAAGTTTGGAGCATATTTAAGAAAACATTTCCATCAAAAATTGGAAATTTTTGGATTCGAAAAACATGATCTCTGTATTTATATCATAGCAAGACCCCAGCTGATAAAGAGATAAAGATTTAACCAAACATTTAAACCATATAATAACGCTTTTATTGGGATCTGTTTTAGAATACAAACGCTGAAGGCGCAGAAGAAGGACTCGCTATGACGTTTCTATCTCAGGGACCAAGCTCGGATTATGAACAAATTGATCTTATCAATTCTGAGGTTGCTGTTCGCCCTGTAGCTAGTGCTTGTAATAGCTTATACCAGTCTATCCATTTTGAAGAAGAGAGTGATACAGAACCTAACCTAAACCAAGAAAAACACACGGAAAATCCTTTGTATGACAGCAAAAAAATGAATATAAAGAAGGGTCTTCAGAAACTTAGTGATGAGCCTGTGACACGTGCTTGTGAAAGTCTGTATCAGTCCATTCACTTAGATGGAATGCGTCAATCTCACTTTAACTTTGGACAAGAGAAACTGCATCAGAAAGGCGATGAAATACCTTCGATTTTGCAACCCACTGAACATCAGGATCTGCAGAAAGAACAACTCAGACATGAATATCAAGGTCTTCATGAAGATTGTAATGGAAAGAATAAGCAAGCAACTGCATACCAGCCATTGCAGAAAGAGCAGCAGCAATATGAATATATAAATCAAAGTTATAAGGAAAATGATAAAGCAGCTGCCAAACATCTGGCTGCATATCAGAACCCCAAGAAAACTCAAGACAGACCTGTGTATCAAAGCCTACATGAGGATTTTAAGCAAACCCCGACAAAATTACCTGTCTATCAGTCCTTGGCAAAAGGGCAAGCTGAATACGTAAACCAAATTGCAAAGGGAGAAAAGTCCATTTCGCAGCCTGCTAACTATCAGGCCTTACAGCATGGGTACGGCCAAACCAAACCCAATTACCAAAGCCTTCAAGAGGATAGCAAAGAATCTACAGTAGAAGTTACCAATTATCAGGCTCTTGCAAAACCTGTATACCAAAGCCTTCACACCTATGGAAACGCAGAACCCAAACAGACTCGTAAAAGGACTGATTGTATCAACGGCATTAATCAGTAAAAAATATATATCGGTTATTACACGATTTGTTTTGCGACTGGATAGCTTTCATAAGCATGGTTTTTGTTCATTTTTTGAAGATAATATTTTTATATTGTTTCGAAGCATAACAAACGACAGTAAATTAACATTCGTCACATTTATTCCCTCTCATCCAATCAAAATCGAATAAGACCTTGATACAGCGTGAACTCACTAAATTGTGCCAATTAACCACAGCGCGAGTAAGAGCAGCGACTGTGTATGAGTCTGTTGCCACTGTCATGCAGGCAAGAGTTCCATAAGAAAACGACCTTTGTTTTTGTTTTCTATTATTATGACGCACCATGAAGGGAATGCAAAGAGATAAAGATTCCTGACTAATGACCATACTATGATGGAGGCGTACAAATGTACTGTTAAAGGACCAATTATTTACTTTGTCATAAGTACCATTTTCTTATCCCTACATGTACTGGGTAAGTTTTCGTAAGTTATATTTGAAACTAGAATGGGTACTATTATCAGTAATTATAAATTTTGTAATGTCGTTTATGTGATCATCGACATTTTGAAATTATAACATTAAATTCCTTAGGCAAGGATTAAAGTATAACGTTAGATGAAACATATATTTACCATGCCTATAGCACAATAAATTACACCTCGTTGAATGAACATTGTCAAATGAAGTTAGCAATAATATGATAATATTCTAAATAGGAATTAATTATCTTGATATGATTGAAATATAAGTTTATGTTTAAAAATACGAATGTCGTTTGGTCTTGCATGGTCGCAGATTGTTTATTTTATGGCTGAGTACAAAATGATATGTATATAAACTGCCAAAAAATAATTGTATATTGCTAACTGTTCCTAATTTGATTTTTTGTAATTTGCTATTTTATATGTTTTTGCTTGTTTATATGACAATCTTCATGCAATCAGCTATAGGTGAATGCGACTTTTAAAAAAAGAAATTGAAAACGATAACGCTAGTTTAAGGTGTTTCTATACAGTTTCGTGATCACCAAAAAGAACAATCGTCGCGTTGACAACGTTCTGTTTGCTGGATCATTTTAGAATTTATACCAGTTGTTGCTCTTGGTTTGAAGTTTGTACTAACGTATATTTTATTAAAATCAAAGTCTTCAACGCAAGAAAATCGAGAAAAATCGAAAAGTGGACAAAATAAAAGTGCGCGCGATTCAGATGTGCTGTAGAAAAACTGTTAACTCCTAAGAATCTAGCCTGCGTCACCGGAATTTTCTTCGTAAATACCGTCTGCGAAACATCGCCAGAAAGCTTGTTCTGGACCTCCCGCAAATTGCGCGATTATATATAATAGATTCTGATCGGCTGTTAGCCATTGCTCATTCTGACGTGAACTCCCATTGGATAACACTATCATACAAAATATCATACAAAAATTTCCGGATACGTGTGGACGGAGCCTAATGGGATTGCACCATATAAAATACAAAAGCCATCGAGCGAAAGCAATCACGAAGGAATTCAATGATAGTTGTCAGGAATATATTAGCATAAAGTTATGAACCGCGAAAAGAGACTGTAAAGTTCTTGCCTTGTGACTTCCCAACTTCAAGGGCCATTTTAAAAATATTAGAATGAATCGACCGACATGATCTTTTGCAGGTACAGATTATATATCCTTGAGAAGACGTAGCTAAATTTAAAAAACAATCGTTCGAGCCGTTTATGAGAAATCGTGGAAAACGCAAAACTTCGACGATTTGCTAAATCTTTACTTAAAAACGCTCTTCGAAAAAAATTCGWTCTCAAGACCAGCAAGGAACTAGTTGACCAAACTCACACAGTTTAAAAACAAGAGCAACAGCAACATTTTAGGATATTTGTGAATAGTTTTATTCAATAGTATTTTTTTAAACCGAGTGCGCAAAAGTGATAAACAAAACTGAGTATGAAATGTTCGTGCGATTTTCTCCAAATCTAACATAAAAATTTCTTTAAATCCTTGATATTTTGTTTGTCATGAATTGGGGATTCTTAGGAGTTAACATTTTTTCTACAGCACATCTGAATCGCGCTCACTTTTATTTTGTCCACTTTTCGATTTTTCTCGATTTTCTTGCGTTGAAGACTTTGATTTTAATAAAATATACATTAATACAAACTTCAAACCAAGAGCAACAACTGGTATAAATTCTAAAATGATCCAGCAAACAGAATATTGTCAACGCGACGATTGAAAAAGTTCTGTTTGGTGATCACGAAACTGTATCGAAACACCCTAAGGCCGCGTCCACACGTATCCGGAAATGTTTGCATCCGCAAATTATTTTTTGCGGATACGAAAATGTTTGCGTCCACACGCAGCGTATTCGAATCGTTTTCACCGTCCATACGTATCCGTTTTCGTATGTTTTGAAACAGTCCCAGAAGGGTTGCCAATCTGCAGGATAACCATCAAAGGTTTTCAAGGCTAATTTTGGTGTAGATTTTTTCGTGTTTTGAATCGTATCTTGACCTTGAGTTGATGTTGGTGAGTCGGAGCCAATTGTGTTTTGTAGACATGTCTCGATTTACTTTGCGAGCAGAGGTTTTTTTTCCTGACCCTCCGTTGAAGAAGAAAGTGATCCCAGAACTTCGCCTAAAGCAAGAAAAAACACTGAAAATCCTTTGAATGACAGCAAAAAAAAAACAAAAACAAAAACAAAAAAACAAAAACAAAACCAAAAATGAATACACAGAAGGGTCGGAAACTTAGTGACCAGCCAGTGACACGTGCTTGTGAAAGTCCGTATTAGTCCATCTATTTTGATAAAATGCGTCAATCTCACTTTAACTTTAACTATAACACAGTTAACTGCCTATAAGTCCTTGCGAAAGGACAATTTGAATACATTAACCAAATTGTTAAGGAATCCCATTTCACAACTGAACTCGCTAATTACCAGGCCTTGCAACAGGACCAGTTAAAACCTAATTTTCAAAGCCTTCATGAATAGTTTCTGAGAACGAATTTATTCCTTCAACCTTGTCCGCAGCTAAGCGAAATCCGCTACTACAAAGTCAACTTGAGGAGTTGTGTGACACACGTAACGTAACACCTTTTCTTTCTAGGAAAAGCACACCTTTCTACTTCTAGGAAGTGGCTTTCGTCTTTTTTTAAACAATAAACCTTAAGGAAGGTGATCTAATGAACGTTTATTAGGCATTATTATACCAACCAACGAATGTTTTCGTAAAAAAAATCAAATTTTGAAATTTAGGAAACTTTTTCCAAGTATAGTAATTATTCTTATCTCTTGGACTTTTCAAGGCACTTGCAGGTACGTGATAAAAACTCATTAAATAAGCTAAATGAAATCATTCTTTTCTGCAAAACATCCCATATTTGGCAAACATGGCAAAGTTCCAAAGTCTGAGTCTGCACATACTGACAGGTAACCAAGTGRACGCCTACAAGGACATATTGGTTTACATTGTCATTAAAATAGCCAATGAGTTTCACAAGGAAAAGTCCGACCTAGGCCTTATTGACGCACCCAGAAGTGAAACTATTACATTCCAGACAGTCATTTTCTTTATTGTCGACCCATATTAAGATGGAGACTCCTTGCGGAAGTACTGTTAGAAGACTAGTCATTTACTTTGTTGCAAATATCATTTTCTTCTCATCGGAAGCATTGGGTAAGTTACAGAGTTTTCTATATAGTAAGAGATATCTAAAGGTGGAATAAGTTGTGATTATTGACAATGAATATTCATTAGAATACCAACATCGTTAAGCAAGACCAAATGATTTGGATAGGAAAGTTTAAGCAAAACACATGCTTCTTCCTTTAGCACAATAAATATATGCAAGCAAATAATATGCATCGTTTAAAAAGAACAGGAATTGGCAACAATGAGGTTAAAACAAATAAATTAAGATCTAACAGCCCCTGCACGCAATTTTCTTTTTTGTTTGCTCGATATTTCTTTACTGAAAGGAGAGGTTACGCGATATTTTTTTTCGTACGTGTAGTGTTCGCTCGATTTTTATTAAGGGTTTACGCAACCCCCTCCTCAATTATCTAATGGTCCGTCCTAAGGCATGCAACTATTCATATTAATCAATTTTTCGTGTATAAGATTAAGCATATACTAAACGCAGAGACAATGTTCTTCGTACGTATAAATCGGCGCCAGCAACGGTATGTCGTAAACGTTTGACTGGCATTTGCATTGGATTGGTCTGGGGTAATTTTTCTTCTCCAGAAATTGTAGTTTTATTTAATTACAAATTGATGTAAAACTAACGAAATTAAACTTTCAATATTATGGTGATCCTCCTTTGCATCAAGCTTTTTATGGATTTTTTTCGACTGAAAAAACATAAAAGATATGTATCGTTATACTTCTAGACATTTCGTAATTAATGTACAACGTCTGATCTGTCACTGGCTCGGCAATATCGTAAATGCCCATCAGATGGGTTACTCAGATATACGTTGTAATAATGATGATGATGATGATGATAATAATAATAATAATAATAATAATAATAATAATAATAATGGAAAGCCA